GGGGTGTTTTTTTTTAAAGTTAAGTAATAGAAATAGGCCCTTTGTGAGTGAGGCACTTTGGACAACAGTTACTCCTTTCCTGCAGGGAAGTCTGTGGTCAGTCTTTGTCCAGTTTCTGAGCAAGCACACACCAATTTCAGACACTCCTTGATTTTCCTCTCACTGCAGAGAGGATTACACAGCCCTGTCCCACCAGTGCATGGCACACCTCTGCCCAAAACCTGAAGGAATTGTCGTGGGGGAGGGAGAGCCCTGGCCCAGCACAGGGATACAAGGAGATTTTTGAAGCTGGTGGGACCTTTGGCACCGCTGCAGAGATGGGATGGAGCTGAGCAAGGGTGAAAAACCCCTTCCCATGGCCATCGAGCCCAGTGGGGAAGCCTGGGCAGATGATGTTGCTCCACCACAGCAGGGATGAGCCTGAGGAGCCCAGGGAGGAGCTGAGCCGTGGCTGATGCTGAGGCACAGAGGGTGGAGGTGGAGGGTTCACTGCTGGGCCCCAGGAGAGGCTGAGGAATGCCCTAATTACAGCCCAGTTGTGGAAACTGGAAGCTCTCCACTGCCCTGTAGCCAAAGAAACAGGATCTGTGTCGGGATGAGACACAGGACACTGTTCCCAAGGGAAAAAAAAAAACCCTCTGTTGAATCTGGTCTAGCTCCTAAGTGGGTATAAATGAGTGTCTTCTGCTGATCTGCATCAGGGGAAGGTCTGGCCTCCCTGAGGCAGATGCAGGTCCCCTGGGCAGAGCAGGTACTGAGTGGTTTGGCCCTGGAGCTTCTTCCCTGCTCACAGCACAGTCCTGTGGGACCCAGAGCACAGAGCTCTCCTCCCCAGGCTGTGGGTCTGGAACAGCACACACGACATTCTGGTGCATGGAGTGCATCAGGCTGGACATCAGAATGGTCCCCCTGAGCATCCCTTCCCCCACAGACTCACCCCTCTGCCTTCATTTCATCATCACCTTCAGCTCTGGGGACCTGCAGGTTGGGCTGGGTGAGCTCAGGGCAGCCAAAATAGCTTTGTTAAGGGAAATCCAGTCTGACAAAGTGACTCGTGTTTGCTGAAGGCATCAGTGAGCTTGTGGATGAGGCAGGCAAGAGTTTTCCTGGATTTCCAGAAGCAAAGACCTTTAGGTCAGACACAGCTAAGAGGGAAAGTCCAAGCAAAGCTAAATAATCAACCAGCAGATAGGAAACAGAAGTGAGATAACAAACTGCTGCTGATAATTCCTGTGCTGCTAATTCCTGTGCACTTGGCACAGCAGAGGTGAAGACTGGTGACACAGAAGTTCAGAAGGATCTGGCAGGACTTGGAGCTTGGGGATAAAATGGCAGAGGATGTTTGGAGGAGCATAAAGTGACACACAGAGGGAAAAATCCAACAGGGCTTCACAGATGAGACAGTGGGCTCTGGGCTGGCTCTTGCCTGCTTGGGATGGGTATCTTTGGTGGACGTGGAAACATCTGAGGAACATCAGGGAAAACATGAGCTCCACAGCAACAAAAATCCCTAACCACGGGAGATCAATGCTTGGTGCTGCTGAAACAGCTCAGCAGGACTCATCCAAGTTAAAGGAGGAGTTTTTCCAGCAGTGAGGAATAGACCTGGGGAACTTCTTGCTGAGGGATATTTTCTGTACTAACAATTTTCCTGGGTGTGAGTGAATCTGGGCAAATCCGTGGAGGAGAAACCCCCTGAGAAACCTCAAATAAAGAGTGAACTGCATTGAGCTCAGAAGGTTTCTGAGCTGAAAATAAAATCTGGGGGAGTGTCACCGAGGCTCATCCTCTGCCTAATCCCCAGACACTAAATGCCCATCTAGAATTGCTCCATCTTATTAATACAGGGAATCACAAACTGTGAGGTTTTATATTCCTTTGCTGGGGGTGTTCTTTCACTGCCACGTTCAGTCTAATCCTTTTGAAAATCCTGCTAAGTCCCGTGCTCCAGTGCTATCCTTTGGCAATGAGTTTTGCAAGCACAGTGCTTGCCATGCATTAATCAGAAAGGTTTATTGCTTTATAGTAGCTCAGTGATGCTCCTCTGCTAAATATAGTTGGTTAGCAATTAGCAGGATGCTTGCAAGGTCATTTAAGTAATTTTCTTTCCCCCCTTTATGCCACAACTCATGGAATTTTCTGTATGTATGAAAACACTTGAAAGAAAAGCAGGTGCTGCAAGAAGAAAGAAAGAAAGAAAGAAGAGAACGAGCCCTGCTCAGAGCGGAGGGCTCATTTGACAGGGTTATCTTTTAGAAATGGTATTTTAATCAGGAACCTTTGATTGAAATAGTTGCTCAGGCCACGGGCACGCCCCTGTGGGCTGGAGGCGTGCAGGGCAAGCCCGGCCTCACAACCAGTTCCTCGGGCTGGCAGAGAGAGGGATCTGTCCGGGTTTGGAGGCTGGAGTTGTACTCAGGGGGTCCTGCGTGACGTCTCCTACAGCAGTGGGAGCACAGGGTCCTGGCCATGCTGTGTGCTTGGGTTGGACCCCGGTACAAACCAGGCTGGGAGCTCCTCCTGTCACCCCAATAAGTCAATCCCCCCGCCCCCCATTGCCTTCACCCCTGCCCTTTGAAGGTGGTGTTACCCTGTGTAGGTGGGGGGGGACGGGGGTCTCAGGGCAAATCCAGAGGGGACGATGGGTTTGGTGGGCTGGGTCCAAGCAGGAGATGAGCCTGAGCACACAGCTCCTCTCTGGCATAGGGCTTCAGCGCCCAAAAACTGAATCCCCCAGTGCTTCAGCCCCTTCCTCCGAGACTTCGCGAGTGTCCTCTGCTGCGGGAGAGCTCGTAACAACGCAGAGGCCGTGACAGCTCGATCCAAGACATCTAGAAAGGGCTGGAAGGAGCAAGGGGGGGACCCTCCCATGCTCTTTGGAAAGCGCTGGGCTGCACCCAGCCGGAGGTGTTTTAATGACTGTTTTGGATCGCTGGGAGCCAGCCTCCTCCCACTCGGCCCAAGGTAATTCACCTCCTCCACCGGGGCTGGAGGAGTTGTTGACTGGTGGAGGGCGGCTGGTAGAACAGGTTCTCCGCAGGGAGTTGTCTCCGAAACCCTGGGAGACCTGGATGGATCGAGCCCCGAGCGCGGGTCCCTGCTCGGAGCCTGGCACGGCAGGAGGCGAGGAGGGAGCTGTTTTTGCGTGGCACTGCTGGGCAGGGCGTCTTTTCGCCCCGCGCCGCTGGTAGACAAATTACAGCCCTCGCCTGGGTCAAGGTAGATAAGGGACCATGTGATGCAGCGTGGTGTAAACTGGTGGCAGGCAGGGTAAAGGTGCACAGGGAAATAACCTTGCAGGGAGTTCCTCCCTCCTTCCTCGGGGGGCAGAGTCTCCAGGCAGCGCTGATCAAGCGGCACCTCGGCCTTGATGCCAGCTCAAGTTTTGGGGGCTCTCTGAAACACTCGCGGGAAGCAGGAATGTCTCTGAGCAGGAGGAATTGGTCCGATCTCTCCAGGTAGGTGCCGTGGTTTAAACGCTCAGCCCTTCCCACGGGTGGGAGGCAGGGGGAGAGGGTGGGCTGCTGCACGGCCAGCCGGACCAGGGGGCGTTGGGGAGGATGGGAAGAGGGGCAGCCACCCTGGGGGTGTTGTTTGAGGAGGTGTTGCCAGCCCCCACGCAGAGCTGGGGTTTCTTGTGGGTGGGCAAGATCAGAGGCATTTTTGTTTCTGCTGCCTGGGGAAGCTGAGCACTGCACAGGAAAATTACCCTGGAAATGCATTTTCAGCCCGTGTGGGATATACTTTGGGTCTGATTTGCCTTTCTTTGGGGCACGGTCTGGCTGGGCTCTGCCTCCAGGCTTGCTCTGGAGATGGCTGGGGTTTTCCACTCAGCCCATGCCCATACAGCCCCTGGGTGTGTGTCCTGGCTCTGCCCCTGCCCATCCGGTGCTGAGCAAGCCCTGATTCAGTCACTGAGCCATCCCTGCAGCCTTTCCTAAAGAGAGATTCTTGGCTCCACTGGGAGCCGGGGTGGGTGAGGCTCCTGGGCATCATGGGGTGAGTCAGGGGCTCACACGAAGCTGGGCATCACTCCTGACCTCCTGCAGACCCCAGGGCAGCGCTGCCGACCAAGTGCAGGTGGAGTGCTGGAGACTCAAACACAAAAACCTCCAGCAATTCAGAGAAGAAATCCTGGTTTAAGTCGATGTGATGGCTCTGAGACTTCATTGCAAACCCCGGTAGTTTGTGTGAGAAAGGGGAATCCCAACTGGTTTGGGTTGGAAGGGACCCAAAACTCATCTTGTTCCACCCTCTGCCGTGGGCAGGGACATCTTCCACTCTCCCAGGTTGCTCCAAGCCCCATCCAGCATGGCTTTGAGCACTTCCAGGGATGGGGCAGCCACATCTTTCTCTGTGCCAGGGCTTCACCATCCTCACTGTGAAAAACTTCCTTATGCCTAATTGAGACCCCCCTCCAGCTCACACCCTGCCCTTCCATGAGTGGGATGGATCCAGAGGGCATTCCAGCCCCATCCAAATCCACCTCCTCTGAGCCACGGACCTGCCCAGCCCCAGGCCCAGCAGGGTCCTGCACCCTGCGTGTTTCACAACCCAGCAGGCAGTTCCTGTGCTCTCATTAGATGAGGCAGCACTGAAACAGCAGAAATGTCAGAAATCCCTGCGCTAATGATTAACAGGACGGGACAAGGCAGGGACACTTGCCAAGCTTTTTACTCGTCTCTTTGAGGTTAAAAAAGGTAAGACGGTGAAAAATAAATCCCCCTTTGAAAAGAGGAGGGAAAGGATTGGCGAAGCAAATCCGCGGCCTAATGGGTGGATTTCTTAATTAGAAATAACGAGAAGCTGCATGTGGAGGTTACGTGCTGCCTCAGGAAGAGCCAAGGAGGGAAAGAGCCAAGGCAGGAAAATCCCATTTCCATTTTGAAGGAGCCTGTGTGCGTAAAAACAGAGAAGTAACTGGCTGTCACGTGGATTTCAACTGATGTTGGTGCTCTGTGCAGCCACTGCTTGAGGGACAGGAGTGCTGAGCAGAGGCACTGGCACGTGTGTGTGCCCATGTATGTACCTGCCAGCCTTTCCAGGTGGGAATGTGTGTGCAGGGATTGCTGCAGTGGGACAGCAGGCACGGCCGTGCTGCCTTCCCAGCCCCTCCGAGCTGGGCACTCAAGGTCAGGGTCAGCCCAGGGGGGTGAGCACGGAGGAGGTGATGCTCATCAGCTCCCCAAGGGCACATCCCAGCCTTTTCCCTCCCTCTCCCGATGTCAAGAGCAACATTAGGGACCACCTGGAGCCCCCTAGCAGTGGGTTGGATTGCTGTTGGGGTGTGCAGGGTGTTTGGGGGTGTAAGGGGTGATGGGGGCAGTGGGAGGGAAGGGCGTCACCCTCCCCCCAGCGTTACAGAGTCACAGAATCTGCTGAGTTGGAAGCGACCCCCAGGAATCCAAACCCTTAGCCCCGCTCAGGATCACCCCCAGGAGTCACACCCTGTCCCTGAGAGCATCGTCCAAGAGCTTCTTGAGCTCTGTCAGCCTTGGTGCTGCGACCCCTGCCCCGGGGAGCCTGCTCAGAGCCCAACCACCCTCTGGGGGAAGAACCTTTTTGCTGAGGCACAACCTAAACATGCCCTGACACAACTTCAGGCTGTTCCCATTGCCCTGTCCCCAGCCAGGACCTGCCTGTCCCTCCTTGCTCTCCGTTCCACTCCGCTGGCCCTGCTGCCATGAGCAGGAAGAACAGAAGCCACAAATGGTTGCGGGGGGTAATGTGGTTTAATTTATGACCCAGCTTTGATTACACAGTAACTCGTAACCACGCTGAGAGTCACCCTGTCCGCAGCGCCGCTTGCCCGGACCCGGCTGACTTTTACCTTCTTAAAAGTCAAATCCACGGAGCACCCCCAGCCTGGATGACACTGGAATGCCAGTGCCAGAGGTGGGGTGAGGTTCTGGGATGGACCCTGTGCAGAGGACCCTCTGCTCCAGCAGGCTGTTGGGGTGCTGGGAGCTCCCTGCATCTGTTTGAGACTGACTGAGATGCTGGAGGTGAATGAACGCTGTTGTGAAAAGCTCAATCCAGCCAATAAAAATATTTTCCAACACAGTTCATGCACAGGCACAGAAGGTGAGAAGGTTTAGCACAGAGAAAAGACAGGAAAGCTGGTGTTTTCCAGACAACGTTTTCTTCAGGGTGACATTCTATAAACCCACACACATTTGGCTTGTGCAATATAAAATGTTCAAAGACGATGATAAACCTTTTCTTTTTGGTACAGTCTGTGATTATAAACAATACCCAGTCCAGCCACATGCAGGGAGGAAGAGGAGTCCCTGCCAGCCCTGTCCACCAGGCACAGCATCTCAGCAGTTGCCTTCAGCACTTGTGCTTTTGCATCTGAGGCTTTTTGCTCTATAAAAATTAAATTGCCATCACCACAACTTGCTTTTGGGCTAAAATCTTCTGCCACTAGTGGTTATTACCCTTGCAGTTCGTGTGGTTGAGGTCTGTGTGGTGGCTCTAGGGTCCAGGTCTTGCTGAGTTACAGCTTCAATATCCTTCCTCTGGAAGGTTTGCTTAATGTAGGGATTCCTTTTCGATGAGTGCTCCCTCCAGCAGGAGGAACTGGGAGTTGTAAAATCGAGTGCTTGTGGTGGGAAATGCCTGCATGAGCTGGGTGGAGTGAGAGCACTTTGCTACACTTGGCTCTCGCCGGCCTCCCTGTCCTCCAGCCCCGTGCAGGGCAACTTCTGTCACCCCCCTGGGCCTTGCCCAGCGTGTTTCAGTTCCCTTTCTTGTGTGGCACCAGGGCTGCAGGCTCCCCGTGCAGGGCACAGCCTCACCACCTCCTTGTGTTTCATCCCAAACAGCCTGGCCAGGCAGAGGACCCTCGAGGATGAGGAAGAGCAGCAAAGAGAGCGCCGGCGAAGGCACCGGAACCTGCTGTCCTCCACATCGACGGATGAGGAGCCTCCCAGCCCTGGGAAAGACCCCAGTCCAACTTCCAGCAGGTGTGTGGGGGGTCCTGCTGGCGTCAGTCTCGCTCCTGATGCTGACAACTCACATCTTGCTGCCTTGTTTTTCTCAACCTGCTGCTGCAGTGGGTGGGAGTCTCTCCTGGATGAGGGTGGGCTGAGCTGTGGGGAGAGCTGGAGTCCTTTGGGCAGAAGGATGGGCTCCACAGGAGGACTGAAGAGGGGGGTATCTCTGGTGGCCAGTCTGGTGGATTGATTTCCCACCAACACTTCACGCTTAAACACGCTGGGATTTTTTCCCCAGTCCAGTGAAAAGCCGCTGACAACTCATCCATCAGCACACCCAGCACAGTGCCCTGAGCCCACACCTCCTTGGCACAGGACTGGGTGGATGCTGGTGTCCTGGGATGAGGCTGCAGAAATGCTTAATCTCTGACATAAAGAGAGAAAAAAAGACTTTTAATCCAATCTTATCCTCGGAGACCCAGGCTGGGGTGCTGGAGATGAGTGTGACTGCAAGACCTGGTCTGATTTGGGTACTCCGGGATGTTGGTGGGACTTTTGTGTCCCCCCCTCAGAGGCTTTTGCCTCCCTTACAGCATGAAAACCATCCCTCTGGCCCTGGGCTGCCGAGGTTTGGCTCCCAATTTTGTCTCTGTCTCTCTAGACCTCAGTCCCTGGTGAAACCAGCGTCTCCAGAGGACGGGGAAGAGCGGAAGCTCTCGGAGGAGCTGAAGACGCAACAAAGCAGACGGACAAGGTGCCCGCCACGTGTCTCTGAAAAACTGAAGCAGGAGAAAGAGCAGAAGGAGCCAGGGCTGGGAGAAGGCCACACGGAGGCAGGGACACAGGCAGGAGCGAGGCAGGAGAGCGTCTGGGCGGGAGAGCGAGATCAGGATGCAGCCAAGGGCAGAGGGGACCCACCAGGAGATCAGCACCCGGAGCCTGTCCCGGAGAGGAAGGTGGTGCTGAGGGGACGGCTCTGGGACAAAGAAGAACAAGGTGTGGGGACACCTCGGGGGGAGCAGAGGAAGGAGCTCCAGGTGCCGCCGGAGGTTGGGGGCTGCCGGCTCCGGGAGGTGAAGATCCTGACCAGGCAGGGAAGCCGCAGCACAGAAGAGAAAACAACCTCGGTGGTGACCTCACCTCTGGAGCAGCAGGTGAGCAGGAATGGACAAAGCACCAAGCCTTGGGGTGTGGGGTCCTGGGTGCTGGAAGGACAGCAGAGAGAGAGGGAGAGCCCAAAAGTACCAGGAGGGTAATAATGGGACCTGAGGGATTTTTGGGAAGGTTTTTTCTGAGAGCTGCAAACCACGAGGTGGTGGAAAGGGTCCCATCACCTCCTGCCCTCCCTCGCCTGCACTGTTCTGATCAACTTCTCCAGCAAGCCCCCACTGGCATCACGGGTTCACTGAAGAGGTGCTTGGGGCTTTGCATATCCAAGTGAGGCAGCCAAAGCTTGGAGGATTTAAATCTCAAAGTCCTGCCTCCAAACCAGTTCCCACCGGGGCTGTTCCCTGCACCTCTCAGCCTTCTCTCTGCAGACTCTGCAGGGGTGCATCTGATGTCTGCTTTTTCCTCAGCAGCCATCCAGGAATCCCTCAAAGCAGGTTATACAACTGTCTCCCACACAAGATGAACCTGCAGAAAAGCCAGACCCTTCTCCAACTCATGCCACCTACAGCAGCTCCATCAGACGAACCAGCCCAAGAACCGTCTCCTTTCGGGTAAGAGCTGAAGCAAGCGGCCAAAGAACCTCACTGAAGGAGTGGAGGACGGGAGGGAGGAAGGGAGGGTTGCTTTGGCCCCTGGATTATGTTGGCAGAGCCTGTTCCCAAAAGTGTGCTCAAAATCCACCCTTGGGCTGGGCACTACAGTTCTGCTTCAGTCTTCCCTTCAGTTCCCTCCTCTGTGTCTGACCAGAGGCCTGTGATGATGCAACGTGCCCACGTTCATATGCTTTGTGCTGACCAGGAAATTTATGGGAAGTGATGAGAAAACAGGGAGCTCGTTGTCCTGAGAATTTCCAGAGTCACGGGAATTACCATCCACTTTCCGGCCTTTCCAGTCTTATTTGAAAGCACGGGATAAAAATAGAATCCATCTCCTTACGACTCTGAGAATATATTCAATGTCAACCCTCCAAAAAAGGATCTGTGCAATAAAGTGGTTGGAGAGGCTGGGAAAACCAAGAAGTGTTGAGACCCTCCCTGCTGTGGATCAGGGCTGTCTGGCTGTGCTCAATTGACTTTCATGTGGTTTTATCGGGAATAAAACTGTTATCACTGCAAAGCATCTTTAGTCTGGGGAGCTTTGAGATAGGAGATAAGCTCTGGTGTGGGTGCAAATGGAGCTTGCTTGGAACTGGGGGGGAGATGGCAGAGATAGTTTGTCCCATGCTTGTCTCTGATAACCAAAGCTGGCTCCGGTATCTCCTCTCCTTGTGTCTTCCAGATCATCTCGAGAAAGCAGAAAGAAGAAAGCCAGAGCCCTCTCACAAGGAGGTCAGCACCTCTCTTCGTGTTACTTTGGTCTTGCTGGGCAGGAATTGTCCTCCTTTATTTTCCCAGGGGGGAGGAGGAGGTGGTGGGACGTGGGAGTTCGTGAGTGCCCTGGCACAGCTCTGCTGGACATTGGTCCCTGGGGTGCCTGGCTGAGCAGGCAGAGGACAGGACAATGTCCAGTGTGCAGCTTGCATCTGTACAAGATCACGGAATCACAGACTGGTTTAAGTTGGAAGGGACCTTAAAGATCTAGTTTCAACCCCCTGCCGTGGTAGGGACGTCTTCCACTAGCCCAGGTTTCTCCAGGTTCCCCCCAGCAAGGCCCTGCTGTGTCTTGGGTTCTGTATTTTCATGTGTCATTGCTCATGTCTGCACAGGAGTGGTTGTGTTGAGTGGTGCAGCACCACAACAGGGTCCCATCCATGGGGATATCAAAACATCCCCTGCAGGTCCATGAGAAACATGACCTGGCTTTGGTGGACAGACCAAGGCATCTTCCACATCCCCATGGGAAGGTTTGGCCAGGTGGTTTAAAAACTGGAGGAACCCAAGAGCTCAGATGTGAACACAGGGAGCTGACAGGACGCCCTCTCCTGAATGCAGGGCAGGGGAGTGGGTTTATGGACACCTGGGCTGGCTCCTGTGCTGTGGGCAAACCCAAGCTGGTGTCGGGGAGGATGCAGTTCAGAGCTGGCAGTGGTGAAGACAGGGCAAGGTGAGGAGCTCAGAGATGCATTTCAATGTACAGTGTGGCCCAAGTAAGACAGTGAGACCCAGAGATCTTGGCCACCAGCAGGGAATGAGCTGCTTGGGTTCACCTGGGAGATGGATGCAGGAGTGCCGGGGTGTGATGGGATCTTCTCCTGCTGAGTGCAGTCCCCCAGGACCACGAGCTGAGTCCAGGAGATCCCGAGGGGGCTGTGTTCAACTCTTCCCTCTTCTTCATCAGTGCGAGTCTGAGGATCCCAGGTAGCAGCAGCACCATTGGGGAGAAGCTGGAAAAGTACAACTCAGCTGTGCAGGTACCAAAACCACTGGGCATAGCCAGGCTGGGATGGGAGGGATGAGTGGGAAGAGGGAGAGAGGTGGCCTGTGGCCAGGTGAGGAGGGGAGGGACTGAGCTACACTGAACACCAGAGCTAATGGGGTTGAAGAAGATGGTCCCAAGCAGAAAAGGGGATTGGCCTCAGGGTTTTAGAAGCAGAGTGGTTTGAACTGAAAGAACCACAGAACGGTTTGAGTGGGAAGGGACCTTAAGGACCATCTCTTTCCAACACCCTGCCCTGGGCAGGGACACGTCCCACTAGACCAGGTTGCTTCTTGCCTTGGGAAGGGTCTGCACAGTCGTGCTGGGGGGAGGCAGTGGGGCAAGCCTGCGAGCTGGTGACGGGCGGGGAGGCAGCAGACCCCGAGGGGCTCAGGCTGTGAGCCAGAAGCAGGACGTTCCTTTTCACCCTCTGGGGAGCAGCACGGCCCCGCTGACGCCCCTCTCTCCTCCCCCCAGCGCTCGGAGGGTGTGAAATCCTCCGTGCCTGTCCAGAAGAGCCGCCTGCTGTCCTCGGAGGGGGTGGCCAGCAAGCGCAGCTTCTTCGAGGCCAGCGCTCCCAGCAAGGCGGAGCCTCTGGCCGTCAGGAAGGTAAGTAAGGAGAGCTGGCCCGAGCGAGCACCTCCCAGCACCGTCCTGCACCAGCTTTTTGGGCAAATCTTCCTCTTGGCATAAGCAGGGCACAGCCTGGCAGGCCGGGACGCAGTTCGGGGGGAGCTGGGTGCCTGTTGAGCGGTGCCAGGCGGGGCTGGGCTCGGGCACCGAAACTCCTCCGTCAGTGTGTGTGGGTTCCTGCCGATGTGCTGGCATTTGAGGAGCTGGGATGGAGCCAGCGTGTGGGCTGGGCTCTGCCTGTTGCAGCTTTGCTCAGCCTCCCCCGGGGACTGGCCTGGGTTGTGTTCGTGCGGTGGGAGAGCTGGTGCTGTAACCCCGGCGCCCCTTTCTGTGCCGCAGGACAACCTGAAGATTCCAGGATCGGTGACATCTCGCATTAATCTGTGGATCAGCCGGGCTCAGGAGCCTGCCAAGGAGGACAACAGCAAGGTACCAGCTTGTGCCAGCTCCTCGGGGGAGAGCCCTGAGGCCTGGCAGCCTGGCAGGACAAGGTCCTGCATCTGGGGTGGTGGGGCTTGAATGAAGGGTCGATGGAGCTTTGGCTGAACCCACTAAAGGGTTTGAGAGGAGTTCAGCCAGGTTTGGAGGTCTGAGTGCTGCAAGACCACAATGATGAGGTATCAAGGCTCTAATTGTTGCTGGTTGCCCTGGTCCCAAGCCCAAAATGCCTGAGACAGCGAATTCCAGCCTTTGGTGAGGTGAGGAGGGAGCAGGTGCCAGCTGGGTGTGCATCCCAGGACATGCAGGGGTACCTGACCCTGTCACCTGTGAGAGAGATCACCCCAGCATGATCCCATCTCTGCCAGTGTCTGGAGGACTAGCTCTGACCCAGGGGTCACTGGGAGTTGTCACTGAGAGGGTCACCGTGTGCTCAACCTTCTGCACTGGGCTCTGAGGGGCTTGGACACCTGTGTGTTCTCTGAGAGCTCTGATGCATGTGTGATCTGGGGTCATCTACACCCTCATGTGTATCCCAGTCCCCCAGAATAGGGTGTCTTGTAGCTGTGGGGGCTCAGTGCCCCAGATCATCACTTTGCCCCTGAGGCTGCTCCATGGACATGGATGCCCCAGAGACAGACAGGAGGGCCTCAGGGTGGTTTTACTGTTCTTGGAAAAGCTCAGCAAGTCCTGGGCAGGTATCACTGCTTGCAGCAATGAAGTGTTTGGCCACTGCTCATCGCAGAGTCTCCTGCAGCCACCAGGGTACAGGACCAGGAGGGGCAGCTCCAGCCCAGCCCCACAGCCAGGGAAGGCAAGCCTGGGCACCCCCAGTGCTGAGCTGCAGAGATCAGCTCTGCCCAAACGTGTCTGTGCAGGGTGGCTGTGCTGGCTCGGTGTCTGCCAGGAAAGGATTTGCTCCTGGGGTCACTCCTGGGCAAAGCTTGCAGCTCCTGGATCAGTTTTCCTGTAAAAACTCCTTTCTCTGGGCTGGAACTGCACTTGGTTTTGAGGGTCTACCAACCTCTCAGAGCTGGCTGGTTTTACCTGAACACTGTGTGCTTCGAGGTTTGGTTGAAGTCAGACCAGGGCAACACTGGAGAAAACCTTCCTGTGGCGCTTATGACTCTCCTGTTTGCAGGAAATCAGGAAAATCAACAGCCTGCCAAAGCGTGATGTCTGGATAAAGCAGCCTGGAGACACCCCTGGGGACACCAAGGTAGACACAGAACTGCTCTGGTGCATCCTCTGAGCCAGGGGCAGAGCCAGGCCCTGCCTGCTGATGCACCACCCATAGGGCAGGAATAAAACAGGCTGTGGGGGGAGAGGGAACATGAGGGTCATCAGGACCCCAGGACTTGGGGGTGTCAGCAGGAGGGGACAACTGGAGTCATCTATAAGGGTGAGAAGGAGTCTGGTCTGGGAGGAGAAGGGAAGTGGCATGTGGAAGGATATAGGGGATGCCTGCCTGCCCCATCCCCTCCCAGCTCCTGGTTAAAGCAGCTGCCTCTGAGGGTTTTGCAGCCCGAGGCTCAGCCTCACTGGTTCTCACTTTCTTTTCCAGCTGCAGTAATACCAGTTGTAATATCAGATGATCTGGGAAAAACTGATTTGCTCTGAAGAACAAAGCCCAGCCCTACCCAGCCGTCCAACAGCTCACTGCCATGAGCCCCCCTGTGCCACGTGGACCACCGGGGTCCTCTGCTTGTGGGATGGGAAGGAAGAAGGCTGGAGGAGTCTCCCTGTGCTCCCAGTCCTCACTCACTGCCTGTCTGGGGTTGTCCAGGCCTGGAGGCTCCTTGCAATGCTGAAGACAAACTCCTGTCTCGTTCTCCCACAACATTTTGGTGTTCTGCTCCTGATCTCTGCCTGTGCCCCATTGCTGCCCTTGCAAAGGGGATGAGCCCACGTTGTGTCCCTCGCAGATGGAAGATGCCAGTGGGGCAAGAAGCTGCCTGGCCAAGGGAGTTTCAGCTGCACATCCGTGGACGTGTCCATCCCTTCTGCCTGGCCCGTGTGGGGTGAGGTGGGGCAGGCAAATATCCACCCCCACCTCCCAGGATGTCACTGCCAGAGGGACCCAGCCAAAGGCAAATGGTGTTTGCAAAGTCACACAAGTGCTGGTGTGGCTCAGAGATGCCTCGTGGAAGAAGGGTGGCCCTGGTGGCCCTGGTGCTTCCCTCCAGCACTTCTGCAGCTGAACCAGAGACTTGTCCTTCTCCCTGCCCCTACAAGCAGTGACCCCTCTCATTTAGTGATACAGGGAGGGTGGGCTGGCCCTGGCCATGGCCATGGCCCTGTTTTGGGGGTTGCAGGGAGCTGAGCACCCTGTGCTGGGCCCCATTTCCCTCTCACCCTTCCCCCTGAGTTGTGCAGGCCCTGATCCTGCTCTGGGAGCCCACCCAGTAGGGATTCTGGATGCTCTCTCAAGGCTGGCTTTAGGGTGCCATGGGCAAAGGGCTCAAATCCTTGTGCTGGGGCCATTCTATGGGCTTGGGCTGTGCCTTGAGCATCCGCTGTGGTGACAGATTTGGTGTGGGACTCTGCTGCTGCCCCTGGATCTGAGCTTGCTTGTTGGGCTTTGGAAAGGACTCGGTTTCCTCTGTGCCTTTTTTTTTTTTTTTTTTTTTCTAATAAAAGTTGCTCTTTCTAAAACACTCCAGGTCACCTGTACTCCTGGGCTGGGCTGGAGAACTGTTCACTTCCCTTTTTCCTGGCACGGGGAAAATAGGGAAAAACCTGAAACGAGAGGGTAAAAGCAGCCTGAGAGTCTTCCCTTCTCATTAGAGCATCTCGAGCTCGGTGCAGGGGCTGAGTGAGCCGGGGCCGGGGGGTGCCAGGGAGGGTCTGCTCCTCCACTTGAGGCAGCGCTGCCTTATCAGCATCCCCAGCCCCGCTTGACAGCCGGGCTGGCTTGTGTCAGCCCCTCGGGCACTCGCGTATCTCGGTCCGGAGGGTTTAAAATAGCAAATCTCCGAGGCCGCACAATAGCTTGGGCTTATATGGGCTCCTGGGGAGGAAGGGGGAGCGGCGGAGGGGGGGGCCGGGGCCGCGGCTGCCGAAATAGCAGCTCACAAGTGTTGCATTCCTCGCTGGGCGCCGGGCACATTCCTGCCGGCGCTGCCCGCCCCGGGGTGGGCGCTGGAACCCCCTTAAAGCCTCCTGCCCCCCAAGAGCATTTCCCAGACACCCGCCCGGCTTCCCCTCGGCTCCCTGGGACCTCCCGAGGCACAGGTAAGGCTGGGGCAGCCCGCTCCGGGTGTAGATGCTCGGTGGACCCAGAAATGATTCGGCTCCGGGTTCACGGTCCTCCCCAGCCCCTCGCTCTGGTGTGTTTGCCATGAGGGCATTCCCAGGGATAAAGCGCCGGGACCATCTCCATCCCGCTGTGTTTGCAGTTTGTCCAGTGCCTTTTGAACCACCCTGATGTGTGCCAAGGTGGCTGAGATGATAGATTTTGGCTGCCCTGGTTCTGGGGGAATCTCATGGATCCCCGATCCCTGTGTCTCTGGAGGGAACAGGAGGGATGTGATACCAGCCTGGCCCTGGCTCGCTGGCAGCCTGTGGGGTGGGATTGGGGTGGGATTGGGGTGGGATTGGGGTGGGATTGGGGTGGGATGCTCCTGGGCACAGTCTGACCCTGCCAGGCAGGACCTGGAGCAGTGACACGACCCACACTGGAGCAAATGAGAGCTCCGTGTCTGGGCAGTCTGTGAACCACGGATTAACTCAGCCCCACAGGGCTGACCAGCCAGCCCTGAGCTGAAGGACAGGGTGATTTTAAGGAGGAATATCTGGATTGTTTAATACACAACAAATGATGGGAGATTTTTTGCAGCCAATAAATAATATGTGCAATGTTTCCTCTTTAACTCTGTACTATATCTGATGGTTCTCCTAACTCTATCAAAACAGAATTTCAGGCTTAAATGGAAATGTTTATCTGTTTCTGTGCAGAGGATGGATATATATACACCTTAGAGCCATTTTTTTCTTGTGTATCCCCTTAACAGTCCTGGGTTTGGTGCTGTTCCCTCTGCTCTTTGGGATCTAGTGATGTATGAGAGAGGAGGGGAATGGAAATGTAGGAATAAACTTTCACATGTTTGCACTGTCATGGCCAGGAGGGGCCCTCCACTCCTGTGTCATGAGAGGATGACATGAAGCCTTCTGCTTAGAGGCTTACAGGTGCATAACAGATTTGGCCAAGCTTGGGGTTTCAGAACCGTGCTGAGCCAGGGGGAGAAGCAGTGCCAGGAACTGATATTTGAGGGGAAATGGAAATCGAGGGGATGGTGCTGGAGGGGGTGCTGAGGGCCAAGCCCCACATCCATCAGAAGAAAGGGAACAGCGACAGCAGAAGCAGGAGATGAGCCCGAGGCAGATGGGGCCGAGTTCTGACTTTGTGTGTCTGCAAAAGCCCCTCGTGAGTCATTGCCCAGAACTGAGATCTGACAACCCCTGGAGCTGTGGGTGTGCCCAGACAGCCCTCCTGCAGTGCCTTTCCCATGCCTGAGGATTCCAGCTCTGGATTCAGCATCCTGAATAAGCAATCCTGAAGCCTGTCCTACCCATCCTGGGTAATAAATGCTCCACAGATGTAGCCAGGACCAGTTGTTCCCAGACTCTGGGCAGCAGGAGAAGTGAAGCGTTGCTGCTCTGGGAACAGGTGGTTTAGCACATGGAAGTTATTTCTAGAGCTGCCTTGTGTTGTCCTGAGGCATCTCAGCTCTGCTGAGGTCTGGCACGGTCATGAGCAGTGCAGGGGTTGATGCTCTGGGCTGCTCCAGGATGCCCAAGGATGGGGCTGGTCAGTGCAGACCTCACAGTGGAGTGCTGGGTGAAGGTTAGATGAGGTGGGACGATGAGCAAAGTCCTCCTGAGCACAGCTGGGAGGGAGGCAGATGTGCTGGGAACATAAGCATGGCTGTTGCTGCAGAGTTTTTAAGCCCTACTGCTAAAACCAGGGTGTGAATTAATTATCCCTTTTAGCTGACCTCAGGCTCGGGGCCAGCACCAAGAGAGAAATGCTCCTGCTGAGCCCAGGTTGCCTCTTTCCAGAGCCCTTGGAGGTCTGGGCTGGGAGATCTCCCCCAAGGACTTGTGCTATGCCTTGTGCAGGACTGTAAATCTAAGATAACAACAAGTCATCCCTGAAAGCTTCAACTGAGCTAAGAATAGTCAGGGAGCAAAACAAGCTGCTCATTACAGTGGGGTGATTTTCCTGCCCCCTGAACAAACACAGCCCCCTGAGAGGGCTGAGCAGAGGGGAGCTGTGCCCTGGACATGGCTCCTGACAGAGCTATCAGCGCTGCACGAGGCTGTGTCTAATCTCCTGCCTCCTATTTGAGGCGAGCTGTGATCCTGGGACAGGAGGGGAGGGGGGAGCCCTTATCTCTGCTGAGATAAGGCTGTCACAGCCCAGCTGGGGACAGCTCGGAGCTCCAAGTCTTTTGGAGAGAGAAGCAACATCTCTGTGCCCGTGTCCTGGTGCTGGAGGACAGGCTGTGCTTGTCCTTATCTCAGCTCCTAACCCTCGCTTTTTCCAATCTGCCTTGAACCCTGCTAGATAACCAGCAGGCATGTCGGACACTGAAGAGGTCACTGAAGAATATGAGCAGTAAGTGGTGTGTTTTTAGAGACACTTCCTTTCCCCCCCTATTCCCACTTTCCCAGAGGTGCCACTCAGAGGGCACTGGCTCTTGTTGTTACCCCAGCACCCAGCATGAAGCCCCCCACCCCCCCCCAGCCTGTGCCCACTGCCCTGGCAGTGCCAGACCCCCAGCAGTGAGGAATGTTGTGTTAGGAGCTGTATCCACACACGTGGATGGGACAAGGGGATGGTTCATGTATTAAAAAGGCTGCAGTGTAAATCAGTGAGATAGAGAACTGGGAAAACTTGATGCCACCAGTCTGTTGCTGATGGGGTCCTGCTGCCACACCCAGACCATCAATCCCCAAGGCCCGAATTTGAGAGGAATTTTTGCTGGTGAGGGTTCCTGGGCCATGAGGTGTGTCCTGGAGGGATGGGGCTCAACATCTGCATTACAGAGTTATGGGGATCAGTGTGAACACAGCTCCTGCTTCTCACCCACCAACTGAAGAAGCAGATTTGCATCCTCCTCTTGTGTTTCAATGCCATGACAAACTCACATGTGTCAGCAACCTGTCCCCTGGGCGCACCTGAGGACAGGCTGTGCATCTTCCCCAAGGTCAGAGAAGGTCTTTGGGGCAAAGGTGGGATGTGAGTTGACTGTTTCTGGGACTACAGGCCATGGTCACTCAATCTTCTCAAGTTGCAAACCCACGGTGTGCTCTGACCACTGTCAAAGTGTCAGTCCAGCCCTTCAGCTCCTGCTGTCCCCAGCCTGCAGAGGGACCTGGACCTTGTCCCTGTCCCCACTGCCACCCTAAAGCCACCCACACAACAGCCCTTGCCCATCCCCTTGCTACGAGAAAGGGGATTTCCTTGAGGAAATTCCCAGTTCCCCTCCCGATGGACACACGTGCCCCGTTACAGCAGATGGGTGTAACTGCAGATGTTTGTGTTGTGCTTTGCAGGGAGCAGGAAGGTAAGAGGACGTGGAGCATCTGCAGCTCCACCTGGAGCACCTGCAGCTGCCCTGAGGCCAAAAAATGATCAGAGAAGCTTCAATAACCTGCGTCTCCTTTCCCTTCTCTCTCTCTCCCGTGCCTGTGTGTGCTCTGTGAAGAGGAGTACGTGGAAGAAGGTAGGTGTTTACCTGCTGCAGGTTCAGTATTTTGTTTGGGGGGCTGTGGGGGTCAACTCCTTGGCTGCAGTGGCCAAATCATGCCCAGGAAAGGCATGTTCCAGATTCCTCCCCCTGAAACATCAGTAGGATCAAAACCAGACTGAGTTTTCCCAGGATCTCTTTTGTCAGAGCGAGCCCTTGACTCAAAACAGGGGTGGAAATGCTGGGCATGGGTGCTGGCAGAGCTGGAACTTCAGCTGGATTTGTGTTAGTGATGCTTAAGCACAAACCTCCCTCTGCCTCAGCCCGATGATGACACAACCCCCTCCCCGTGCACGGAGCTGCTCTGGGGCACAGCTGAGCTGGGCTTTTGGGCTGGGCTGGGGAGCTGGGCTTTGCTGAGCCTCTTGCTGCTTCAGGGCACTGCCAGGCAAAACATCCTGAGCCTTAAAAGCAAAGAGAGGCACAAAGGGGAAGCCCCTGCAGTGTTTGAGTCCTTGTCTCATGCACGCCAGAGCTCCGCAGCTTCGTGGCCTCCCACTAACTCTGCGCTTATTCCTTTCCCTCCTCCCTGGCCCAGAAGAGGAAGAATGGATGGAGGAAGAAGACGGTAGTTATTGCACCTTTCTTTATTTCATCTCTCCACTGCTGCTGTCAGTATGTCGTGGGTCGTGTGTCTTTCGCCTCTCCCTGGCTGGGAGATGGTTTTCTTTCATTCTTCCACTTCTCTCTCCTGGTCCTTGCACTCCCCTCTCCTGCCCCGCTGTGCTGTCTGTGGATCTGCTCCCGCGTCTGTGGCTTCTCTCTTACATCTGCCGATCAGAGGCACTCTGCTCTCTTTGCTGTCTTCTTTCTCTTTCCTTCTGTCTTGCTGTGGGACCGCAAGTCCTCCCAAGACCTGCGAGCCCCAGCGTTGCTGACTCCGGTGGAAGACTCTTGTGGGG